GAACGGGGACTTGTTGAGATTGAGGCCTTTGCCTGGTCGGTACGGTCGGGTCCCTAGATGGTTGCGTACGCGGTGGCGACTGGGGGGGCCATTTCCTTCGAGAAGAACTAGGTGGGGGGATGATGGGGGCAGTGTTAGAAGTCTCGGCCAGCCCGGCGAGCCTGACTCTCCTTGCTGCGGCAGCGGCCTCCATTGTAGTAGCAGTGAATGGTGGCAGATTAAACATGTCAGGTGCAAGGGGCTTGAGAGCGTGATGATCATACTCTCCCTTGGATTCTTCCTCTTCCAACGAGAAATGGTCTTCCCAAACAGAAGGGTTGAAAGGATGTGAAATATGGGAGAATCGACTGTAAGCCGACGCGTAGCCAATGAGAGTATGCGTCGCTCGCTCAACTGGGTCCGAGGACCAAACCCTTAGCAGGTCGGCAAACCGAACTTGGGACCTCAACGATTGAGTGGCGTCCCAGCGATATCCTTCTACAAAAGCAAAGCAAAATCAGTGCGTCCCTCGAACTCAAGAATAGCAAAATCAAGAAGTCGAAAAGAAAACACACCTTTATCCCTCAGCACTTTGGGGTAGTACAATCTATCATACTCGGGCCCGGTCCCTTTCTCCCAACTTTCGCCGAACATAATCAGATCGTCTACATACCCCTTGTCCGAGTCAGACATATGGATTACCAGATACATTGAGGCTTCTCGAGCCTGGAGGTAATATCGTCCCCTGACGACTAGCCTCAGGTTGTAGTAGAATAAAATTTCATCTATTCCTAAGTTGGTCCCCAGCCGAGAATTTAAGGCGACTACGCCCATCACAATCCTAAAGAAGTTAACCCCACATTGAAGGGGAAAGAGTTTCAGTTGCATCAACACTCCTAGCAACAGGGGATGGAGAGGGAATGTCAACCCTCCTTCCATGATGTCATTCATCCAGAAAGGCATCATGTCCATATTTCTCATATCCCTCATATGGTGAGTGAGGTTAAAAGGGAAAGTGAAGACAGGCTCATGGATGTGGTACCTAATCCTAAAGGCTTGAATATTCTCATCGATTACTTGGGTTCTCCTCATCTTGTGGGTAGTTCTAGCCCTAACAGATGTCTCCCCCTAGTTCTACTAGTTCTAGCCATTGGTGGGAGCTAAAATGACGAAATGTAGCAAAAATGAAGAGAGAGAAAGTTCAAGTGGAAGTACTTACAGGAAGGTGGTCTTCAAAGAGAGAGCTTGGAGGACGAAGAAAACTCGGAGGAGAATAGAAGAGCACTCGGGGTCTGATTGCTGAAGAGAGGTTGAGAATGCAAAAGTTCTGATAAGGTATGAAAACCTTCTATTTATACTACCTCACAGGGAGCAGGAATTGAAAAGTTGGGTCATCATTACGGCGTTTGAAAAGTGCGGCACCAAACGTGCAAGTAACCGTCGCTATTAATAAGGCGTGATGAGGGAGCCCACAATTCCTTTACGCCACTTGTCTTACACTGCAAAAAGGATGGCAGCTGGGGGACAGTTGGCGAGACTCTTGGTGGCTCTACAGCCCCCGGATCGACACATGGAATAATGAAGTCGTTGGAATGTCCAAAGGGCACCGAGAAAGTAAGCCGAGGTATGGTGACATTGAGCAGTCGGGTACGACAGCTGACATCGTATTTAATACAATGTAACTCCTCATTTATGGCGGAATGAGTGAAAATGACAAAACAAATAAATGCGAGCCTGTCAGTACCTGCCTTCTAGGAGTNTGCGGCACCAGACGTGCAAGTAACCGTCGCTATTAATAAGGCGTGATGAGGGAGCCCACAATTCCTTTACGCCACTTGTCTTACACTGCANCTAGTTCTACTAGTTCTAGCCATTGGTGGGAGCTAAAATGATGAAACGTAGCAAAAGTTCTGATAACGTATGAAAACCTTCTATTTATACTACCTCACAGGGAGCAGGAATTGAAAAGTTGGGTCATCATTACGGCGTTTGAAAAGGGCGGCACCAAACGTGCAAGTAACCGTCGCTATTAATAAGGCGTGATGAGGGAGCCCACAATTCCTTTACGCCACTTGTCTTACACTGCAAAAAGGATGGCAGCTGGGGGACAGTTGGCGAGACTCTTGGTGGCTCTACAGCCCCCGGATCGACACATGGAATAATGAAGTCGTTGGAATGTCCAAAGGGCACCGAGAAAGTAAGCCGAGGTATGGTGACATTGAGCAGTCGGGTACGACAGCTGACATCGTATTTAATACAATGTAACTCCTCATTTATGGCGGAATGAGTGAAAATGACAAAACAAATAAATGCGAGCCTGTCAGTACCTGCCTTCTAGGAGTCTAAGTCTACTGTCATGATGGTTAAGCATTAATGGATGATGTGCTGAGATGACGCGATCGGCTTCCCCGAGAAACTGTTCTCCCCGAGTATTCAATGTTTAGTTGATGTCGGATGCCGATCTGGGGGATTTGGGTACTCAGAGAGTGGCATGAATGCTCGGCATTTGGCCGAACATTTATCCTATTTTCCTAGCATTCAATAGGAGGAGACGTGAGTAGAAAACACTCATTACATGAGGAATGATGTGTCAGATGTAAGATGTTTAGATGAGATTGGAGATCTCTGGCGGTCATTACTAGTTCAGGTATAAATACTCCTCAAAAAAATGAACAAAGGTATGTAAACTTGAATCAGAAAAANTTACGCCACTTGTCTTACACTGCAAAAAGGATGGCAGCTGGGGGACAGTTGGCGAGACTCTTGGTGGCTCTACAGCCCCCGGATCGACACATGGAATAATGAAGTCGTTGGAATGTCCAAAGGGCACCGAGAAAGTAAGCCGAGGTATGGTGACATTGAGCAGTCGGGTACGACAGCTGACATCGTATTTAATACAATGTAACTCCTCATTTATGGCGGAATGAGTGAAAATGACAAAACAAATAAATGCGAGCCTGTCAGTACCTGCCTTCTAGGAGTCTAAGTCTACTGTCATGATGGTTAAGCATTAATGGATGATGTGCCGAGATGACGCGATCGGCTTCCCCGAGAAACTGTTCTCCCCGAGTATTCAATGTTTAGTTGATGTCGGATGCCGATCTGGGGGATTTGGGTACTCAGAGAGTGGCATGAATGCTCGGCATTTGGCCGAACATTTATCCTATTTTCCTAGCATTCAATAGGAGGAGACGTGAGTAGAAAACACTCATTACATGAGGAATGATGTGTCAGATGTAAGATGTTTAGATGAGATTGGAGATCTCTGGCGGTCATTACTAGTTCAGGTATAAATACTCCTCAAAAAAATGAACAAAGGTATGTAAACTTGAATCAGAAAAATAGTCCATTGAGCAAAACCCTTCAACTTTATATTGACTTAAGTTTCGGAGAAAATTAGCCGGGCGCTCGCCTGACCCCCTTTTTTCTAACCTTGTTGTTTCAGGATCGCCAGGTTGGAGATTGCTGTCTCATACTATTGCAGGAATTATCCCGTGCAATAACTAATAATTATATTTCTGACAACAATTCCAAAACAAATCATAATTCAAGATAATGTACTGACCAACAATTGTTAATAATAAAAGCTAATTGTCCATATTTGTAGTATGAAATATTTCGCAGCAAATTAAAATATGAGATGAAAAAATACCAAAATAAAGAAGTAACAAATTTGTGTTATGATTTGGGGTTAGAAAAATGATGTGACTTATATCATGAGTCAATTTGCGCCGGTTTGAGTAATAATTTAGGTAAGGGACATTGAACAATCTGGACTGCGATCCTACCCCGTTTCCAGTGGTGTGACCCGTTCGTGGAATGCTGGGTGTATCTACAATCCCGGTATTTATGCGTCGGACCAGTCACCCGGCAAATGTTCAAATTTGGTTCCATAATTGAATCAGCCTTTGGATGATGTTGAGGAAAATAATGTTGGAGTGATGATGATGGAGAAAATGGAACTCCCAACCATAAGCATCTGTCTTGCAAGGCCAAACCAACAGAGCTGGATGCCAGTTGGCTGTTAGTTTTGTTATGTGCCTTTACTATTTCAGCTTGTTTTCAAACTGGACAGGCCAGATGATTTGACCAGCAGCCAAACCGATTGAACCATGAACAGGCCAACAAAACAGTTTTGCGGTCCAATTCTTATAACTCTGCTTTACACTTGCATAAAAATCAATTCATTCATTTCAATGGAAAAATCATTAATACAAGCAGATTACCGCATTGCAACAGATTTGTCATTGAAGTTCAGCGCATGATTTCAACTAGAAACCCTAATTTTTCAAGAGAATAACAATCGTTCAATCCAACTAGCACCAAGATTTTTCTAGCATTTCATCTTTGTTTTTGACATGAACTAGCAGATCTTTTCAGTGATGCACTTTTGTGCTATTTGACGAAACAAATGAGTGTCTCATGTGCAGGTAAAGATGAAATGTCTAGGATTTTTAGTGTCACATCAAAAGATTCATATTAGACAATAGAAAACCCAAGGATGCAATTTTATTTCAAAAACCATTATGCAGAGGATCACCACAAACCTTTTGATAACATGAAATTCTGTTCCCTGAATAAAGAATTACCCACCTTCATCCATTCTCTTACGTAAGACTTTGCTAGATTTTTAGAATATAGTAACCACATATAATTGCAGCTAACAAGTTATATATGCATAAGATCAAGAAATGCATTGAAATTTACAAAAATCAGCACCATATAACACTATTTAAGTAATATACTTCCCTGTACAGTGTATATATGACTTGGAAGCTTGTCATTGTATATATGTCAGACCAGGTTTGAAGTAATGAATTGGAACACAATGAGCCTAAACACCAAGTCATTTCACACAGTATGCACTATTGTAACCAATGAAATAACCTTTGGCATCCCATTACTCAACTTGCATGTGAATCAATCAAGCATTTACAGAAACAAATGAAAAGTTTAAGCCACCACTGATGGTGAAATAAGTTCAAAATGTGTATTTCAAGTCAACATATTGCATATACAATTTAGCAAGGAAAAAAGATGATGAACCTCAGATACACGCAAGATCTGATAGGTGTCGCATGCAATTGTTGGACAAAACTGGGGATCGTCCACACCACCAACTTCACAAACTGTTTCAATCTCCTCAAATGTGTCTCTCTTGGACATATCCCCTGAAAGCAAGGTAANGGCATTTACAGAAACAAATGAAAAGTTTAAGCCACCACTGATGGTGAAATAAGTTCAAAATGTGTATTTCAAGTCAACATTGCATATACAATTTAGCAAGGAAAAAAGATGATGAACCTCAGATACACACAAGTTCTGATAGGTGTCGCATGCAATTGTTGGACAAAACTGGGGATCGTCCACACCACCAACTTCACAATCTGTTTCAATCTCCTCAAATGTGTCTCTCTTGGACATATCCCCTGAAAGCAAGGTAACAAAAACATGTCAGGAACGGGAGAATATTAAAACCTTACACTGGGAAACCATTGAAATTCCAAAATAACCATCACTGGCCACATATTTTTAGGGCATAACATTTTCAGGAAAGACAGGAATATTTTTTTGAGAATTCCAACTAGAAATAAAAAAAAAAAAATCATCCCTGCACCAGTAGTGCAACTTTATACTTAAAACAGAGAAGAGTTCCTATTTTAATCGAAAGGATCTCAACTCAGCACAAAACAAATGAATCGGATGGTGAAATGCTGAACTGCAAAAGAAGGAACGTGCTATTCCCAAATGATCTGATATGATAAGAATGTCACAAGTCTTCCTCTCAATAATACTAACTGCCAAGTCGCCATCTTTGTCCATGTATTCAAATTCAGGACTCCCCAAAGAATCACAAGTGGACATGCTCTCATCCAAAGAAACTGAACAGTTATCTGATTGACTTGTAGAAACATCCATGCAGCTGAGGGAAGGAATGGCTGTAAAACTGATCATAGGTTGATTGACCCTGTGAACATATGTATCCTTGCAAGGAACTGCATTTGATTTTGAACTCCCATTGCTGGATTTGAGCAGTGGATTCTCTGAGCTGTTTTCATCATAAATGAAAGTAGAAAATCCCTTTTTCATCTTTGCAACTTTAGCGTCACACAAGTAACTAATTTTCATCAAAAACAAGACTAGATAGCTTAACTTGAAAAATAACTTTTCAAGTTAACTAAAAGTGAAACGGCAAAAATGCCTACAGTTATAGTTATACTAGTTGAGTTAGGGTGCACACAAACATGGGAGAGAAGTTTCTTATCTCTAGTATTCCATAATCCATACCATGTGAATGCATAAATCCATTCTTCAGGATTCAACGCAGCTCAATTGTACAAAAAATGTTCAATAGTGATATAGAAAAAGTTAATTCAAGTACTCTTTAACATTTAAAAAATTATGCAAGTTGAGAAAAAGAAAAAAATTGAATACTTCTGTTAATGGTAATGGTGGAGAATCCTCATCACATAAGAGTCCATATAAGGTTATAACAGTCTTTTTNTAACATTTAAAAAATTATGCAAGTTGAGAAAAAGAAAAAAATTGAAGGTTATGAAGACTCAAAAACTAATGGTGATGATGTGAGACCGAATAATAGACACTCAAGGTGATGTTGGAAAGCTACTTGAAGGTTATCAAGAATAAAATATTGAGAAGAAGGATAAAGCAAATAGTTGAAGTCAATTATTGAGAAGAATTTCTGGATGATAAAAGTAATGCTTACACTTAAAAACGTATTCCTTTTTGTTTTTCATGATGTGCTTAAATAAAAGAGATCAGTCAAAGGTTAAATGACTAATGTCACTTTATTGTTTTTTTAATCCAAAATGGTTTACGTTCATAAACTTCAAAAAAGAAAAGGTCTAGTGGCTAATCACCAACAGTGACAAATGGAGGCAAATTAGTCTTTTTGGCTCTTCCGTTTAATTCAATTCAATTCAAAAAACTTGTACTAATAATAAGGAGGGGTCTGAGTCGTATACATCAAACATGAAAAGGTATCAATCTGAAAAACTAACAGAGGGTTTTTGTGTTATTTTGCCTCTTTGTATTTCTATTACGGATAGGTACTATATAAATTACTTATTTGTGGTAAAATACCATGCAAAAATATAAGTACTTTTAATTGTAAATGTTTTGTATCTAGGATAAAATATTCATTACAACGGTGACAAGGTGATGTGATATCACCAAATAATATTACTAAAACAAATAAGCAGATGAATTTTATTTTAAGTATTTTAAAAAATGCTCGTTTTTATTTGGGGCGTGAATGCTGTATTTGACGATTAAATTTTAAAAGAAAGATCATCCTTCTATTCTCGTAAAATACTTCTGTTAATGGTGGAGAATCCTCATCACATAAGAGTCCATATAAGGTTATAACAGTCTTTTTCACTGTTAGATAGACTTTTTTTCTAAATATTTTTTAGAGGAGATTTTTTCGCAAATAATAAGTGTTTTATGATGTACTGGCTTCAAAAAACCCTTTCTGCAATCAGTTTGAGCTAAGGCCCAAGATCTAACCGGATCAAAGGGCCCAAAATGAACATCAGGCCTCGCACTTCAGTCTACCCATCCCACCTGTTTCCCGGCCCCGAAAGATCAATCCCCATTTCCACCTTCAATAAAAGCGGGAAAGAAGAGGAGAGAGAGAGAGAGAGAGAAATGGCGCCAGTGTTGCAGAGCTCGCAACAATGGGTTGAAAAATAGTAAGAATCTTGCTCATCCTCCTTATTTTCGTGATGATATACGTGTGTAAATTGGTTAATTGCCTATTTTATTTGATTTGTTTATTAACGTTCAATATCAGTCGACCCAAGCAAGTAAAGGACGTAGCTCACCAAGACGAGGTCGTTCGGGTTCTCACAAACACTCTCGAGACCACAAATGTAAATTTCTACTTAATTTTTTGAAGCTTTCAACTAATGATGATCGTATTCATAAACCCTATTATTGTCTGGGTAATATGATTGTTGGTAGTCCTTTTGTTCTTTTCTTTTGATTCGAGACCATTTATCGTCAAAATGTCTGATTTGGTGCTCTGGAATAACTTAAAAAAAGCTTTGGCGATAGCTATTTGTGTTGTTGTGATTGTTTCTGATTCTCGATTTTGGTTGATATGTAGTGTCCACACATGCTATTTTATGGCCCACCTGGTACTGGAAAAACCACCACTGCGCTTGCCATTGCACATCAGCTTTTCGGGTACCCAGTTTTCAATGCATAATGTTTATGTTTGTAAATGGTCAATTGCGATTCAATTGTGTACTTTGCTTGTGGAAAATGTTGGGAGCTGTTCTTGATTGTAAAATGATATTTTGTGTACGTGACGTTTGTTAAGAGTGAGGGCTTGTTGCCTAGTGCAGTTGTATTATGCTTGGGCTAATAACTGCATGGTAATGGATTTGAAATCCCGCCCAAACATTTTTTGCATTTAATGTCATTGGGGGCAGGAATGTCTATATCTATGCGAGCAAGTCAGGCTGGATATGCAGCACAGTAAACAAGTTTTGAAGGCTAAATTAGGGCAGCGTTCTTTACACCAAATAATCCATGAGAAATTACGAAGTTTCAAATTTCTGAAAACACTTGATTTTTGAGTTACCAAGTTCAATTGGTTATTTGTGAATTTATGAGGAAGAGAAGAAAAAGATAAATAGAGGAAGAGAAGAAAAAGATAAATAGAAGAAGATACTAGAAAGAGGAGAGAGGCTTCCGGAATAGAGTCAGGATAGCGATGGGTTTTCTCTCCTCTCATTATGTCGACAACGATACCCTTCAGTGTCACCAGAATTAACTATTATAAAAATGTGTAGCTATGACTCATGGTCCTGGAAGTATCCATTGGGTTTCTTGTAAAAGCAGAGAACCTCCACTGACCTATTGATCCATCATTTACACAAGTGATGACATCAGATCTGTATTCATTAGTTATGAGCGATTTTGAGCACAATGTTCAAAGTTCCTAGACCAATTGGAAGAGCTATTACTTGCCTCTTTAACTTACTGATTTGTGAACCATTTCCAATTGAAACAGAGATCAATTATTTTTTTTGACATGTCTTGGTTTTTTTTTTGTTATTGACATTCAAAACTTTTTTACATGTCTTGGCTTTTTCTTATATCAACTTTCTGAGTAGATTGGGGGCACCCACCAAAGCTGACTTCGTGAAGTCCCATTGAAAGCTCTATCTAAACTATTAGGAAGATGATGAGGGGTATGACAGGTTCCAGTCTCTGAGGATATATACATTGGAATATAGCTGGACCCTTGAAAAGTAAATGCCAAATAGTTGAGTCTTAGCCATATTTATTTCCTTAACCGCTCCCATAAGTTGTTTTTAAATTTTCTTCCATTCCTTTCTTCCCAAATAAACCAATGGCATAGAATAATGCTACTATTCTCTAGTTAAGTTACTCACAAGTTGCAAGGCTCTTTGTCCAGCTAATGCTGTGAGAGAAGGAAGACATATGTTGGGAAGGTGCATAAATTAGGCTTACTTTAGAACTAGCCTAAATTGAATAGGCCTCCTCATCTTGTAGGAAAAGATAATTAGTTGACTCTTGAGCTTCTGTGAACCATTTATGGTGCATGATTTAAGCATGGGGAGAGAGATATTTCATTTTATTTAAAGCATGGATGTAATTTCTTGTTTTTGTGGGATAAGGGCAAGTGTTCTTGGGAACTAAGTGGAATAGTTTTGGCAGTATTTAAAAAGAGAAATATTGACCACAAGAGGTGCAATACTGATGAGTTTTGGGAATGCAGTTCTTTTTTCTTTGTTTATTTTTTCTCTGGAAAGCATGTGGCAAACTAGACAATATAGAAACTGTAGAATAGTACTAACTATTGCAAATGCAGTACTATCAAGATCCTGATTATAAGCTAAGCTGTTGGAAGAGGGAACTTAGTTTAATAAAATTGGAGTTAGCAGAAGATGCTAATTCCCAAGAGAACTGTGGTTGGTACTCTTGCTAAAACACTGTGGACTTTGATCATGGAAAACGAAATTAACAATCAAAAGAAAATTTTCCTTTTAGGGTGTACTTAACAATTATGTTTGGAAACTAGTAGCACCCTAAAACAGCACCCAACACCGAATCGGGTGTACTTATGTTAAAATTCTCATTATAATTTCTTGATTTATTGAACTTTCAGAGGTACACTCTCAAATATATTCTTTTTTTTTTTCTTTTGTTTAAACTTAGTCATCTAACAAAGCATCTCCAAGCTGAAACGGATGGTTGGGTGTCAGTGGTCTCAAGCTGTCTGCCAACAATGCAGTGCTCAGTATTGTTCCTGTTGCCCTTATATCTGCAAGGTGGCTTTGACTTGTTAGAAGCCACGCTGCCAAACTTAGAGTCGCTTGGTTGCCTTGAACTTCTTGGTGTTCCTTGTACAATCAATGTTTTTATTTTATTTTCAATGTTCACACCTGATTTATAGTCTTGTTTGTCAGTACTGATCCCATTTTTTACAGGCCTGAGCTCTACAAGTCCAGGGTACTGGAGCTTAATGCTAGTGATGACCGTGGTATTAATGTAGTTCGGACAAAAATAAAAAATTTTGCTGCTGTTGCTGTAGGTTCTGGTCGTCAAGGGTATATTTTCATTACCGTACGATACAAGGAACAAACACATTGCTTAGCTTGATGGCCTCATATTAGTTCATATGCTCCTTTCTGTTAATTTGTGGATACTATTTCTTATGTATTTTAGGGGTTATCCTTGCCCACCTTACAAGATTATCATCCTAGATGAGGCAGATTCAATGACGGAAGATGCTCAGGCAAGTCTATGGTTTGTTAGAATATGGTAATGCGATCTTGTTTGTTATATGGTTGTAAGATCACTCTTTGTTTTGCAGAATGCCTTGCGGCGTACAATGGAAACTTACTCCAAAGTTACAAGATTCTTTTTCATTTGTAACTACATCAGCAGGTTCCTTTCTTTTATTTTAGAACACTTATCCTATTTTTCATCTCTCTTTCTCTCTCTCTCTCTCTCTCTCTCTCACATGTTTGTATCACTTGAACATTATACTGCACTACAGAATCAAATTTGCTTTATTTTTCAATGAAACATGTCAGAGTAACTATATGGGGCTCATTTTTAGTAATGTCTTATTACAGATGCATACTGCATCTACCAAGCTCTATAATTCTTAGCTTGGCCCATAAATTTTCAACATCAGTTGGACTACCTGATTGATAACCATTACTTCTAAATAAAAATCAAATTATATAACGTAGACATCACTTCACATTATGAATGTCTTGTTGTGCTTTTTATGGAGTCTAGTTTATGTTGATCTGAATAATGACCCGACCTGAAATAATGTTGCGTGGTTTCTAATGAGAAATTTTCTAAAACTTAGTCCATGGGCGTTACGACTTGGGCCCCGGGAAATTTTTTTTTTGGCCTGTTTTGTTACCTGATACGCAAAGCATATAAAAACTGTTATTTTTTTGGTGNGCGCGGGAAATTTTTTTTTGGCCTGTTTTGTTGCCTGATACGCAAAGCATATAAAAACTGTTATTTTTTTGGTGATTAGGGTTGATTAATACTGTATGGCGGCCCTTTGTATTCCTTCTTCTCAATAGTGAAATTCTCACAGTTTCGTGGACGTAGGCAAATTGCTAAACCNCCCCGGGAAATTTTTTTTTTGGCCTGTTTTGTTACCTGATACGCAAAGCATATAAAAACTGTTATTTTTTTGGTGATTAGGGTTGATTAATACTGTATGGCGGCCCTTTGTATTCCTTCTTCTCAATAGTGAAATTCTCACAGTTTCGTGGACGTAGGCAAATTGCTGAACCACGTAAATACTGTCTTGTGTGTGTGGTTATTTTTCTTTGGCATGTGTTTTCTCTATTTTTTGTTTCTCACAGGTGTGGGAATTTCATGCAAATTTCCTAACATGTCTTTTGCTTAAATTTCAGTAAATTAATGAACATTTGCCAATTACTTCACATTAGAAATGAGCATTCCCATTCGAGATCAATCTAATCTATCTATAGTGGAAGACAAAGAAATGGCAAGGGAAGAAAAAGTTAAAATGGGCACTATTAGTTCAATGATGCCCCCACAATAAGCCTTACATAAAGAGCATACATACAATGTGAGCCTAATTTTGAATATGGACTTTAATTGGGAGTGAGAAGCAAGACAACATTTATTATCCTCTCTTAAAACTCTTTTGTGTGAGAAGAAGATCGACAACCCTTCGACGGCCTCATCTTTCAAAAGTTGGAGAAAGTAAACAGATGGAATACACCACTTCCATCCATGAACTTCTCCGCTCTCTCACTGTTCCTTTTTTCATCTGGAATGTGCACTCATTTAAATCAACTTGTAGAAGAGCCAATGTATTTTGAATTTTTGCCATTTTACAACAAAATCTGCGAACAGGATTATTGACAATGCAGAATTGTAGTGGCTTTGTATTATATTTGAGGGTTAATCGCTGAGGCTTTTCTAATTTTTGTTATTATTTTTATAGGATCATAGAGCCACTTGCTTCTAGATGTGCAAAATTTAGATTCAAGCCACTTACAGAAGAAATCATGAGCAGTCGTATATTGCACATTTGCAAAGAGGAAAGCCTCAATCTGGATTCAGAGGTACATTTCCAATTTCTTGATCCTTGTTTGGTAAACTTTTTTGCTCGTGAGTAAAGTGATCTTTCTTGTATTTGGTATTGAATTAACATATTTGATACTGATGACATGGTCCATGACTGATTGTAGGCTCTTTCAACTTTAAGTTCCATCTCGCAAGGTGATCTTCGTCGGGCAATAACTTACTTACAGGTAACAGTTTCTCTTTTATTTTAATTTTGTACATGAACTGAGTTTCAAATCATCACTTCTCCAAGAACTTGATGGATACAAATGATTGATGATTCACTTCGGCTCTTTATGGATAATTGCATGAGTGTTCTGTCGGAAATTAACGCAAACCATTTCACTGTTAGTATGGTTGTGACTTGTGAGCTTTGGTTTTATGGAAGAATTTTTGCTCCGTGTTCCGTGCAAATTTCATGAGAAACAATGTGAAATTCCATTGAACTGTGAATTGGGAAGAACAAAATCTTGCTCTTATGTCAGAGGGTTATTTGATGTTCCTTTCAGTGTTTTGAAAAGCTCGCCTAGGCGAGAAGCGAGGCGAGGGGAGCTTATCTCGCCTGGAGGACCCCAGGTGAAGCGAACGTGAGCGAAGCGAGAAAAAAGCGAGAAAAAGCGAAAAAGCGAA